TTTTAATCAGTAGTTACAGTTAGGCATTGTTCTTTTTTTATCCTGAACCTTTCAATCAATTAGATATCATGTTCGAAATATGTTTTATCAGAAATTTTCGCCTGTAGCATTCTTGCAATTTCTTCAAAATCAACATTTGCATTGGCTTGCATACCCAATATTTGTGAAACTCCATTTCTATCTGTACTCAGACGTGTTTTCAAATTTAATTTGTATCTATCCTGCACTTTATCTAATGAATAAGCATGGATATGTATACTATCGGCTAAATTTGCCTCAGATAAATGTGAAAATGAAAATTCCTTTTTCATATAATCCAATAAACAATCTTGGATAATTAAAACATAATGCTTATTCACATTTTCAAAGGTATCGATTTTATGAAGCAATTGAACCAATATCGTTTTAGATGTCATTTTCCAATTTATACCATATCTTTTATCCGAGATATCTTCATCTATCTGGTAACCCCATTCCTTTAGCATCTTTGTCGTTCAGGCCAAACAGTACCGACGGTATCCAATGTTTGTAGTTCAATCCCAACAAAATCTTTTACTCTTTGTTTTGAATCAGTTGATACTAAAATATAATCTACAGAACCGCCAGGAATATAAACTTCTGGAACAATATGTAATTCATTGCCTGGAATATGAGCCTTGAGAAGAGGTAAACAATCGAGGATTTCTAAAAACCCCAAATTTTCATACTCAGTCCCTCTAAAACCATGATTTAGATTACATTTCCGAGGGTTTTAATTTTCAAAAATGAGGTTTTTAGGAAAACTCAATCGATAAATATCTGTTTATGTTCCAATAATCGATTTGGACATATCATGACTTCCTGTTGTTTTTTACCGTAAGAAACGGTACATGTTCCTATTGCTGTATTGGATTCACTTTTTCTTATTTTATAACATTTTTTATTCGTATACCGACATATTTGTTCGCGCAAGATATAAGACCCTTATATTTATTCCAAATGATATCGTTTCTCAGAATCCATCCGTCATCCATCATTTTTATCGCGACTCTCCAAGGGATACCAATAAGATTTTTATTTTGATATGAGTCACCTATATTGAGCCAAAAGCTTCCAGTATCTTTCAAAACCCTTTTTATCTCGGTTATAATTAACATTAAGTTCTCGATATAGTTCGTATAGGTATTTTCCAGTCCGATCCCGCCATTTTCATAAATGCGTTTACCCCAATAGGGTGGACTCGTAATACAGCAGTCTATCGAACCGTCAGGAATTCTTTTCAACAGTTCCAGTGAATCTCCTGTTAAAAATAACGGGTATGAATCATCACCATTAATATATTCTCTTATTTGGAAATCTCTTATTTGAGAATCTATATTCTGGAAATTCATTATTTGAGCATTCATAGCATTCGTTCACACCTCTATTTCGATTCGTTTACGTTAATTTCATCCGGTAAGCAGACACTTCTTTACTCTTTTCTCTTCTCATGTCCTGAATACGTAGATGTGTCCTATTTTTCAATCGTGTTCTCTTTGTTCCTCATCTATTCGGTCATTGATATTATTAGATGATTTCTAAGTGCGACATGAAGCTATAATCAGAATTTCCAGTGAAAATCTGGGCTTGCTATCCATTCAGCATGACTCTATCCGGACGTGCGCGCCTCGGTAAACGGGCGGGTGCGAAGCTTCGGAGACAACGCGGGATTATCGAGAGTTCGAAATCGATATACTGCCAGAGTAAAGCTACTGGGATAATGTAATGTGAATCATCGCCCGAAAAATCGTAACATCTAAAAGGCGAAATGGACTGATACGCCTTGACCAAAATGGTACGCAGTAAGGTCTCAAATGTTTAGAAGTTTTGGGACGGATGGACAAACACTGCCGGTTTATAGATGAATCCCATAAGTAGCACTAAATTATTTTGATTATGGAACATGGTAAAACCGTATGCACTCCTGAACAAGGTATCGAACCGCGAGGGTAGAAATTGTGCAGACGGCAAGGAAGAGGCAAAAAGCAAACGCACAACTGTAATGGTTGTGATAGGAGTCTATGCTCCACCCGAAAGGGAGCAGACTTGCCGAAGGCAAATCAAGACATGAAGAGAGGCAAATCAATGAATAACGGTACGACAATTACAGACTTAAAACCTGAGTTCCCGTTAGACGCAAAACTCATTACCAACTGGAACAGTATTGACTGGAAGGTGGTAACCAGACACGTTAATCGACTGCAAACTCGAATCGTCAAGGCAATAAAACAAGGTAAAAACAAATTAGCAAAACGACTTACTTATCTGCTGACCCACTCATATTATGCCAAACTCTTGGCAGTACGCCACGTGGTTCAGAACAAAGGGCATAAAACACCCGGAGTAGATGGGGTTCTTTGGCTCACACCTGAAGAAAAACTTAATGCGGCTAACTCACTGACGGATAAGCACTATAGAGCTCAACCGTTACGTCGTATCCTCATTGAGAAGAAGGGAAAAAACCACCAAGAGACCGTTAGGCATACCAACCATGCACGATAGAGCCATGCAGGCTTTACATGCACTGGGGCTATACCCTATTGCTGAAACGTGCGGGGATTCTCACTCATTTGGATTTAGAATGGGTAGATGTGCACAGGATGCGATAGATTACGTCTTCCTGGTACTCTCTCGCGAATCATCTCCTGAATGGATTGTTGATGCGGACATCAAAGGATGTTTTGACAATATCAACCATAACTGGTTAGTTAAAAACATACCTATGGACAAATCAGTATTAAAAACAGTTTCTAAAGGCTGGATTTGTATTCGAAGGAGAACTTTTCCCGACAGACAGCGGAACACCTCAGGGAGGCATAATATCACCGATATTGGCAAATATGACACTTGATGGAATTCAGGAACTGCTGAAAAAACGGTTTTCACAGAAATAAAATCAATTTGTGCAGATATGCTGATGACATGGTAATCACAGCCCCCACGAAAGAAATAGCCAAAGAAATACAATCCAAACTAAATGAATTTCTCCAAGAAAGAGGTTTGGAACTGTCCGAAGAGAAAACCCATATAGTCCACATAAGTGAAGGCTTTGATTTTTTAGGCTGGAATGTGCGGAAATATAAGGGCAAATTGATAATTAAACCATCGGACAAGAGCATAAAGAATACTGAAGATAGGCTGCATCAGGAAAATATTAGAGAAAGGTAAAGCAACAGAACAAGGTTTGCTTATCAGGATACTAAACCCGATACTTCGGGGCTGGTCTAACTATCACAGAAATGTATGCTCCAAACAGACCTTCAGTAAAATTAGACATCACCTATTCCAAAAGTTATGGACTTGGGCAATCCGCAGACATCCCAATAAAGGGAAGAAATGGATAGCTCGAAGATACTGGCTTACGGAAGGAAAAAGACACTGGGTCTTCAAAGATGAGAAATCAAAAGAAGAACTGTTTAACATAGGTGGGGTTAAAATTGTCAGAAGAATCCATTTGAAATTAGATAAGAACCCGTTCACCGACTGGCAATATTTCGCCAATCGGAAAGAACAACTAAGAAACAGCGTTTAACTTACTTTATTGCCGCTCGAAAGAGTGTTGATATGCACGAGCGGAGTGCGGTGAAAGTCGCACGCTCCGTTCTTGGAAGGGTGAGGTGGAGTAATCCGCTTTACCTATTCAACAAACCCAATTTTTCACACACCCTTTCTGAAATCATGATTTAGATAACATTTCCTATGGTTTTGATTTTTAAAAAAGGGGTTTTTAGAAAAGCTCTATTAGTAATATACGATGAATAAACCTAAAAATATGATAGGTTAAGAATCCCAAATCCTTCTAGCAGTATTCCTCTCACCATTTTTCCTCTCCCCTCAGACTGTCTGAAAACTCCCTATCTCCCAAGTTTTAATCAAAAGTAGATTGAGCAGTTTTCATCGCATATGGTTCGAGTCCCATGCAGTGAAAGTTGCACGTATGGTTCCTAGAAGGCGGATGCGGAGTAATCTGTTCCTGCTATTCGATACATCGACGTTATTGTGTACCTCGATACCACAAACCGTTATTAATTCTTCTTGTCGCACAGATGAATCGTTACAAAAGACGTTTTTATCATACCTATTTTTTCCCCTTGTCGGCAATCATTTTCTGATTTTGAGGAGATTTTGTTTAAGAGGAACATATATTCTGGATAAATTCCCCATAACTTTACGGAGATAGTAGAGAGATTTAAGATGGATATTTAGATAATTTTTAATAAAATAAGGAATGAAACTTGGGAGTTCAACTGAAAGATCAACTATTCGCAAATTTTTTACTCGATAATTATTATGAACAATATACAACGATAAAAGAAATTCAGATAAATAGCCAATGGCTCTTTTTTGATACCAATTACGATTTGACAAATCCAACCGTTTTTTCTATTGCTTCAACAAGAGGAAATAACCAGGCACAATAACTATCAAAAATTTCTTTTCGGGCAATAAAAATATTACATTTACTTGGAACTTCACATGAAACTGATAATTCATTCATGGAATCAACATAATCGGGGTACAATCTCCTGATTTCTTCTTCCATAATGTCCCAATCCTTTTTAAACATGATATTCTAAGGATTCATCACAGGAATATAACTCTTTACAGGGTAATCGTAATTGATTTTTCAGCGCACATACGTCATTCGATTTGAGATTGGCCAATATCTCTTTTTGTGTATCTATGATTATGCGACGATAATGAGTTAATCCAACATAGGGACTCGTATTATTTTTTCCCAAATCCAATATAATGCTGTTAGTTCACAATAGAGTAAATCTTTACATGAAATATTATCTTTACCAATATCATCACGTATGAGAAATTTATGGTTTTCACGACAAGCCGACCCAATTTCAATCGGGATTTCATAATCCTGCAATCCTTAAGCAGTGGTATCAACGCAGAGTACTAGTCGCGACATATACGGTTAATATAGATCTGTCTGTCTGTCTGTCATTATCTAATATTTATGAGAGGATTTAGAAAAACATATCCAGTGTCGTTGCTTTTGTTCCTTTGGGATCAAATTCGTTCCAGTCCCATCCGAGTGCATCAAAGATTCTTGATATCGGCATCTGCAAGGTTTTTTCGCACATGGTATCCCAGTCAATTTCAAAGGTATCTGCTGGAATATCTTCCGGATACTCGAAACAGAGGACATCGGTTTTCGGAAATTTTTCAACGTCGTAACTGTTTTTGATATAGAGCCGTTTTGGTTTGCTTCCGCGTGCGAAATGGGTTTTGAGGTAGGTATTTGAGTATAAGGCTCCTCTTCCGTGCGCATCGAGATGGTCATACGTTTCCAGTGCTTTGTTAATTCCGCCGGGAATTCCTACTTTATCTATCGGATACGTTCCCGCGCGATACGCGGTGATAATTGCCGATAAATAGGATTTGACTGCGGTCTTGCCGTCACCTTTGAGAATCATTTCCAGTATGGTTGACAAGACTTCCCGTGTTATCTGTGACGAATCCGACCGTTTGGTTTCCAGTCCTGCCATATCGATTTTATCAATGGTCTGTCCCTCTTTCCAGATAAGGTGACCGGCATACCGTTTTTTGATACCGCCTTGGAAAAACCGTTTATATATTTTTTCAAATTTGATGGAAAAGTAGTTGATATCAGCTCCAAGCGTTTCTTTTGAAAAATGAGGATAACTATTATTGAGTTCGGTTTCCAGATTTCGTGCCGTTTTCATGGTTTCTTCCAGGGATGATGAGGGGATCTGGACAAAACAGGAATCGGTGTCGCCGTAGATAACCTCGTAGCCGTGATTGGTAATGACCGTTTTGGTATGCTGAATTATGGCGCGACCGACCGAGGTGACTGCGGCGCCAATGTCGGTATCATATAATCTGAATCGTGAAAATCCCGAAACGCCGTAGTATGAGTTCATAATGACCTTAATGACATTCTGCTGCATGTCATAGAGTAGATATTCATTGGATCCGTAAGGATACGTGTTTCGCAGGTTCTTTTTGTTGTCGCGTTCGGTCAGCAGTTCTCCGATTATGGTGCGAGTAAGTCCATCCGGTTCTTTTTTGAAACGAATCCCGTTGGGTGCATGGATTTCACCGGTTTTCGATTTGGTTTCCTGCGATGCATTCAGGGTCATCATTGCCATAGGATACAGTGATTTCAAATCAAGAACAATGACATTTTCACGCAAACCTTTGGACGGGGAAAGAACCGTGGCGCCTTCGAATTCCGTTCCTTCCTTGTTTCCTTTTGAGGGTAATATGAATTTCCCATGTGCTTTTCGGAGTACGAAAATATCAACGACATTGGATGAATTCAGGGTTTTATCGAGAGGACAGCCGACATACCGTGCGACTTCCTGAAAAAAATCGACAATATTGTTTTTTTCATTGATTTTAACGCAGAGTTCAACGTCTTTGAAATTGTATTCGATAAATTTCTGTGGGTGATAGTTCCATAAATCATTGAATGATTCGGTGTGATGAATTTTATGTTCACCCAGTTCATCTTCGGCAACCGCATCAAGACGGTACGATTCCTTCTGTGAACTCTGCATTTTCTTGTATGCTGCAAGCAAATCGAAAAGGATCCGTCCGCGCATGGCTGGTTCCCGGTCGGTTCCGGCGCCGGGAAGACGCGCGAAACAGTCTGCCGGAAATCCCAGATGTTTTGCGCGGGTAAATATATAGTTTGCATCGAAACTGGTGAAATTCCAGCCGGTAAGAATGTCAGGGTCGGTTTGTTTCAGGTAAGCGAGAAATGCATTTAATAAATCGGTTTCGGTTGCATGAATGGTTATGGTATGTTTTTCCGGGTTGAAACAGCCGTTGGCACCGGGAACGGGATTGGCGGGGAGTTCCGTCTGACCTTTGAGGAGAAAGGTTGCATACGTTCCGGTAAATGAATCATGGCAGGTAATTGCGGTTATCCGATCGAGTGAAGGTTCCGAGAGTCCGTTTCTTACTTCGCATTCGATATCGCAGGTACATATCCTGCTTTTTGAAGGGACCGAGACCGGTTTGATTTCATGGTAGGAACAGATTTCGTCCGGAACGGAAATTCCGCCGGTAATGTTCATATCGATGAGAAATCGGGAGGTAAAGGGAATATCGGCTTCGAAATGATGGTACGTTTCCCGCACCGTTCGGACATCGGATGGTTTTTTCGTGTACAGTTTTCGTAATTGGTCACCGTTGATGGATACCGCGCGTTCTTCTGAAACGTCAACCGTTTTCGGATGTTCCTGTGAAATATCGGATTCTTTGACCCAGAAATATGGTCTAAATCCGGTGATGCGGATTTCATGCAGGGTGCCGTCCAGTTCCCGTCCGAAAATATGGATGATAGGTCCGTTCGGCGTATTTGAATATTCGGTCTGATTGACACTGAGTTCCATTGCGTCAGACTCGCATGCACAGACCGTTTAAATAGGTCGCAGCGTTCATGAACTGTTCCTGTTCCCATGCATCGAGGTTCAGTGACTCGTTTATCTTTGCGCCGTCTTTCGTGACGGTTGCAAGAATACCCAGGGAACATCCGTCAATTCCGTAGGCTCCGTCAGGAGGAAGGGAACAGACAATTTCACGGCCGTGTTCGATATCTTCAAGCATTTTTTCAATATGGTAGGCCGGTCCGAATACGGTTCCTCCCTTTCCTTTAATTACCGGCATTGACGATCCTCTCAGACCCTGTAAGATATCTTCCCGTGTGGCGATATCAACCGCGGTGGATAAGCGGGAGAAGAGAGGTACCTGATGTTCACCGTGTTCACCAATAACCAGTCCCTGTTCCTGGATTCCGCGGGATAGAAGGGCAAGGGTAAATCGGCGACTGTCGAGTTTACCGCCGAATCCGACAACCTGATTCTGTTCAAGTGATGTATGTTTGGCAAAGTACCAGGTAAATACGTCGACGGGGTTGGTCAATACCAGGAGTTTACCCTCAAACCTTTCAGGTTTGCTGCACCTTCTTTCGCGACGGGAAAATTGACGTCAAATAAATCCGCGCGCGTTTTTATTGCCGGTGACCGGGAAAAACCGGCGGAAAATATACCGTAGTCGGCTTTTTTTTAAATCGGAGAGCGTGGTGGAAATCGGAATGTCAAGACCGTGAAGGATATCGAGTTTTTGTGCGCTGAGAAGGTCGGTATTGATATCGTAAAGAACAAGTTCATCGGCAAATCCGGTAATGGCGGAGAGATAGGCCGCTTCTCCTCCGATTCTGCCCATACCGTATGCAGCTACAGTCGTCATGATGGATATATATTTGATGTGAGAAGATATAAGAGATGTTTTTTAGAGTAATCTTTGAAGAATATATTCGAATCTATCCTGAGTATAAATCATACATCGAATCAAAAATTGATTTTTTACCTACTAATTATTGTTTTTTTTTTGATATATAAATATGATAAATATCAATAAATTTTAGGAATTGTCTATTTTTGGAACAAGTATTTATTTATTTGTCTTTACATATATAATAGTAGTAATTTATTCATTTATGTGATAAAATGAGTTTGACATTTTGGAAGAATCGAAAAATAAGAATGAGCATTATTGGGGGCGTGGTGCTTCTTTGTGCTGTTCTTGCATTTGTTATTCGTAAAGCAGTGGTATCAACGCAGAGTACTACGGGCGATATGATAGCAGGTCCTGATGCATGGTATAATTTACGTCTTACGGAGTATCTCCTTCAGACTGGAACGTATCCGGCATTCGATCCGATGACACAATTTCCAGATGGATCAGTTGTTTCATGGGGGCCGTTATTTACCTATATTTCAGCATTCTTTGCGATAATTGCCGGAGCAGTATCGAGGGTGGCGGTTATTGATGTTGTATCTTGGGTGCCGGTAATTATGGCGGCATGTATGGTTCCAGTCATGTATTTCTTGGGTAAAAAACTGGGAGACTGGAAAACAGGACTTATTTCCGCTCTTTTTATTGCAGTAATCGGCAGTCAGTATTTCTTCCGGTCACTTTATGGATATTTTGACCATCATATTGGAGAAACATTATTTTCAACGTTGTTCTGTTTGTGTTATGTATTGGCGGTAGTGCATACTCGTGAAAAGAAAATCGAATGGAAGAATTTTGCATCTCTGAGAATTCCGATACTCTTTGGAGTTATTTCGGGAATTGCATACCTGCTTGGAATTATGACGATGACAACAATTATTGTCTTTGGTCTTTTTGCAGCACTGTTTACCTTAATTCAGTTTATTGTTGATTACAAAAACAATCATCCAACAGAATACCTGGTTATTTTAAATACCCTGACCTTTTTAATTGCTGGGATTGGAATTATTATCTATGGATTCAGAGATAGTGGATTTTCATTGTATAGGACCTCTCCAGGCGTATTAATTGCGCAGATATTGGTAATTCTTGGGACGTTGTTTCTCTATTTCTGGATAAAAGGAGTCGATAAACTCAAGTCGAAGATGGCATTTAGAACACCGTGGTTGGTATATCTCCTTGGAATTGTTGTACTTGTTGTTGTTGGAGCAATTGTGTGTGCGCTTGCATTCCCGGATTTATTCCAGATGATTGTAGGGAATTTTGCCAATCAGTTTTCGGCAGCGACTGGTGGGGGAACAACAATTCAGGAAGCCTCACCGTGGTCGATGGATAATGCAATACATTCATTTAATTGGGGATTATTATTGGCGGCATTGGGTGCGCTTGTTCTTTTGGTTAAATTATTCAAGGAGAAATCACCGACAGCGTTATTTGTTCTTATTTGGTCATTTGGAACCTTTGTACTGGCATGTTCACAGATTCGTTGGGAATATTACTTTGCAGCAAATATTGCATTATTGTCAGCGATTTTTGTTGGATGGTCAATTTCATTCGCGATTCCGGATGTGAAGAAACTGGTGATGAGTATTAAGAAAAAATCTCAAAAGGGTTCTGAAATTGAAGATGCCACTGTGAAAAAAGGAAAATCAGTTAAACGTGTTCAGCGTGAAGCCGCGAATAATAAACCGAGTTATCTTATTATCGGTTCGTTGGTTCTTTCTCTTCTTGTTGCCGGAGCATTTGTGGGGATTTCGACGTCTGATGGTTTTTCAATGTCCCAAGTGTATGGTAAAGGAGGAGGAACGGCACCATACTGGCTGGATGCATGCGAATGGATGGGTAATAATACTCCACAGACTGGTGTTGATTATTATGGAAAGTATGATAAAGATACCTTTACGTATCCGGATGATGCGTACAGTGTTGTTTCATGGTGGGACTTTGGACATTATATTTCAACGATTGCAAAAAGAATTCCGGTAGGTAATCCGTTCCAGGCAGGAGTTCTTGGAGAATATGGTGTTGCAAAAATATTAATGGAAACTGATGAAGCAAAAGTTGCTGAAAAACTGGATCATCTGAAAACAAAATATGTTATGGTAGATTACAATACCGGAAATAACTTTATTCCAGTAATGGCAGTGTGGGCAAATAAACAGCTTAATTCATATAATGATATTTACGGAACGCTTGCATTCCGTTTGTATAACCTGATTGGTTCACAGAGTACATCGTATAGTATTCCGGCTCTGCAGCACTTTAGGCTCGTTTACGATTCACCAAAATATGCAGGTGGATATGACAGTAAAGGAAACGTTGTTGGACAGACGGCAAGAATATTTGAGTATGTTAAAGGTGCTGTTATTAAAGGAGAAGGTACGATTAAGACAACCTTGACAACCGGGACAGGAACGGCGGTTTATGAACAGAAGAGTGTGAACGGTCAGTTTATTGTTCCATATGCAACAGGCAAAAATGGAGCAGTAACGGCTTCAACCTATACGATTGATGGATCCAACCAAACAATTACGGTGACAGAAGATCAGGTTCTGAAAGGACTTACAGTAAATTAGGCTTAAAAATGAATGATTGTTAGAATAATCAGGAAATAAAAAAATTATTTTTTATTGTAGTTCATCTCCGTGTTTAAATTTAATATTCTTGTTATAAGGAATATGAAGAAATACTCTATTATTTTTCCCGTTTTTTGGAAAAATATTGGTGTATCATTTATTTGGTGATTGTAGAATTATATTTTTAAAAATGAACTTGGGATTCTATGAGAAGAACGGAACTGATTTATTAATTTGGGAATTCTTATCGGATAATCTGAAATAAATATGATATTTGATACATTTAAACATAAAACGGTTCTCGTTACCGGTCATACTGGATTTAAAGGTTCGTGGTTGGTTCTTTGGCTTTCCAAGCTTGGAGCAAATGTTCATGGTTTTGCTTTACCGCCCGAAACATCTCCAAATAATTATACTGTGTCGCATGTATCATCACTCTTGAAATCAGAATGTTTATCTGACATTCGTGATAGAAATGCAGTTTTTGCATATATCCATACCGTTCATCCGGACTGTATTTTTCACCTTGCAGCTCAGCCTTTGGTACGCAAATCGTATGCAGAACCGGTTGATACCTTTGAAACAAATGTAATGGGTACGATTCATGTTCTGGAAGCTGTTCGGGAAATGCAGAAACCATGTACGGTTATTATCATTACGTCTGATAAATGTTATGAAAATGTCAATAAAGTCGAGGGATACATTGAATCTGATCCTATGGGGGGGCATGATCCATACAGTGCCAGTAAGGGATGTGTGGAATTGGTAGTTTCATCATATCGCCGTTCGTTTTTTTCTCCGGAAACTTATGGAAAGGATCATTTTGTTCATCTTGCATCTGTTCGTGCTGGAAATGTAATTGGAGGAGGGGACTGGGCGGAAGATCGTATAATTCCGGATGCTGTTCGTGCTGTCATCTCGTCATCATTTCTTGAAGTACGCAGTCCCCATGCTGTTCGTCCGTGGCAACATGTATTGGAACCGTTATCTGGATATTTGCTTCTTGCTGCAAAACTTATGACGGAACATGTTGTTGAATATGCTTCCGGTTGGAATTTTGGACCGAAAAAGATCGCAGAAGCAGTTTGTGTTTTTGATCTTATTACTAAGTTCTATGATATTTGGGGAAAAGGGTCGATATATTGTGATGAATCAAAGGCAAATCTGCATGAAGCTGGTTATTTAACGTTATCGTCTCAGAAAGCTGAAACGGAACTTTCGTGGGTGCAACAGTGGAACATTGGGAAGACAATTGAAAAAACAGCGAGATGGTATAAAAAATATTATACAGGAGAAGATGCTCGAATACTTTGTGAAAATGATATTGTAGAGTATCAGTCACAGTTAACCTATTAATTTAGTGTGCAGTGCAGAGGTTTCCTAAGTGCGACATGAAGTTATAATTAGAAGATTTCTAAAAACCCCAAATTTTCATACTCAGTCCCTCTGAAACCATGATTTAGATTACATTTCCGAGGGTTTTAATTTTCAAAAAGAGGTAGACTGTCTGAAAACTCGTATTTTTCGTCGTTTCTATCTTTGAATTGACCAAATAGAGGGTGTTTTGTGCGTTTTATTCTTGGAGATGGGGAGTTTTCAGACACTCTGGGGGGGAGACTGTCCAAAAACTAGTATTTTTTGTCGTTTCTATCTTTGAATTGACCAAATAGATGGTGTTTCGTGCGTTTTATTCTTGGAGATTGGGAGTTTTCAGACAGTCTGGGGGAGATTGTCTAAGTGCGACATGAAGTTATAATCAAAATTTCCAGTGAAAATCTGGGCTTGCTATCCATTCAGCATGACTCTATCCGGACGTGCGCGCCTCGGTAAACGGGCGGGTGCGAAGCTTCGGAGACAACGCAGGATTATCGAGAGTTCGAACTTGATATACTGCCAGAGTAAAGCTACTGGGATAATGTAATGTGAATCATCGCCCGAAAAATCGTTAGTTCAAAAAGGCGAAATGAACTGATACGCCTTGACCAAAATGGTACGCAGTAAGGTCTCAAATGTTTGGATGTTTTGGGACGGATGGACAAACACTGCCGGTTTATAGATGAATCCCGCAAGTAGCACTAAATTATTTTGATTATGGAACATGGTAAACCGTATGCACTCCTGAACAAGGTATCGAGCCGCGAGGGTGGAAATGGTGCAGACGGAAAGGAAGAGGCAAAAAGCAAACGCACAGCTGTAATGGTTGTGATAGGAGTTTATGCTCCACCCGAAAGGGAGCAGACTTGCCGAAGGCAAATCAAGACATGAAGAGAGGCAAATCAATGAATAACGGTGCGACAATTACAGACTTAAAACCTGAGTTCCCGTTAGACGTAAACTCTTTACCGACTGAAACAGTATCGACTGGAAAGTGGTAAT